TGGTCAACAGCCGGCTGAACATGAGCCGGCAGTGTGCCCAGGCGGCCAAGAAGGCCAACGGCATCCTGGCCTGCATCAGAAATCGTGTGGCCAGCAGGAGTAGGGAAGTGATTGTCCCCCACTGTACTCGGCCCTGGTGAAGCCGCACCTCGAATACTGTGTTCAGTTTTGGGTCCCTCACTACAAGGACGTCAAGGTGCTGGAGCGTGTCCAGAGAAGGGCAGTGAAGCTGGTGAAGGGTCTGGAGAACAAGTCTTATGAGGAGCAGCTGAGGGAACTGGGACTGTTTAGTCTGGAGAAGAGGAGGCTGAGGGGAGACCTTATCGCTCTCTACAACTACCTGAAAGGAGGTTGTAGCGAGGTGGGTGTCAGTCTCTTCTTCCAAGTAACAAGCGAGAGGACGAGAGGAAATGGCCTCAAGTTGCACCAGGGGAGGTTTAGATTGGAGGAGGTATTTAAAAGACGTGTAGAAGGGGTGCTTAGGGACATGGTTTAGTGGTGGACTTGGTAATGCTAGGTTAACCGTTGGATTTGATGATCTTAAAGGTCTTTTCCAACCTAAATGATTCTATGATTCTAAGAGAATGAAACCTATCTCATTTCCCTACTCCCTGAGTTTAAGGATCCCACCACACTGGACCATTGTTCATGACCTTATCCTGTGTAACTCTGAAGTTAGTATTATAGTCTCTGTTTTGTGGTTGGAGAGGTAGAGGTTTAGGGCAATTGCATGTCTTGCTGAAGATCACATAACAATCTTTAATCACATAACAATCTTAACCTTTGTGTCCAGAGAAGGGCAACAAGGCTGGTGAGGGGTCTGGAGAACAAGTCTTATGAGGAGCGGCTGAGGGAGCTGGGGTTGTTTAGCCTGGAGAAAAGGAGGCTGAGGGGAGACCTCATTGCTCTCTACAACTACCTGAAAGGAGGCTGTAGCAAGGTGGGTGTCGGTCTCTTCTCCCAAGTAACTGGCGAAAGGACGAGAGGAAATGGCCTCAAGTTGCGCCAGGGGAGGTTTAGATTGGATGTAAGGAAAAATTTCTTTACTGAAAGAGTGGTTAAACATTGGAACAGGCTGCCCGGGGAAGTGGTTGAGTCACCATCCCTGGAAGTATTTAAAAGACGGGTAGATGAGGCGCTTAAGGACATGGTTTAGTGGGCATGGTGGTGTTGGGTTGACGGTTGGACTCGATGATCTTGGAGGTCTCTTCCAACCTTAATGATTCTATGATTCTATGATCTGTTTGCAGAATGGGGAATGAAACTCATAAGCTCTTGACAGCAGTTCATCAGTCTTGTACTTGCATAGAGACCCTTAGCTTGAGAAGTTCATTCCGATAAAACAGAAGATGAAATGTACGACTGTTAATGCGGGTTCACTGTTCTGTGAGTCTAGTGCATTCTGTAAGGAAAGGTGGCCAAGACTGCTTTGGAAAACATGTATTTCCAGAAACACCTGAGTAGCACCGGGGTTTAGGGCATGTCTGTATTGTGTAGTGGAGCAGAGGCAGTTATTATGTATGTCTTCTTGCACTAGTACAGCTCTAGAAGTTTCCTGTTCTAGAGCTAGCTCAGAGATCTCTGCATCACAATCCCATTAAATAGTGAATTTATACGCCAAGTCACTTGTTGCCAGAGAACTTAGGCTCCTAAATCTCAAAAATGTTTTTGGAAACAGTTGGTCTCCTGCCTGCAAAAAGGGGACATGGACCATTCTTTTGTCTGCACTTTCTGTTTATGCAGCAAAGAGCAGGTGTATAGTTACAAATCCTGGATCCTTACCTCAGTTGGGGCATCTACAACAGATAATTGTCTTTTATGCTACTTGCAGTACTAAGTAATTCAGCTTCAAAAGGAGGAGCCTTAAATTTTATTTGCTGTTTCTTTCTCCTTCTGAGTAGTTCCACTAATTATCCTTGTTAAGATCATGAATATGTTTATCTTCCTGGTGTAAGTGTGCAACTTGCTTTCAGATGATTGCCTCATCACTATACTGTCTGGAGAGCTGTCAATTTCACAGACGCAGGCCATATTCCCTAATTATTCTTGGAAAAGGCAGAGCAACTAATGCCTGCTTCTGCCCCTCACCTGCAGCACCTTGGTGTAATGTGTTCTGATGTTTCTTCTAGGGATTTGTGTCATGTATGGAACGGTACCGAAGAATTGGGCAGGAGCTGTACGCCTCTTTGTACAAGAACCACATACAGGTAAAGAACAGAAATATTGTGCAACATCTTTCTGTTGTTGAAATGATGCTCTTGGACTACCCTGAGAAATCAGGCATTTCAGAAGTGATATAAGTAGTATGCCCAAAGAAATGCTGAGTTAATGAGTCAATACTCGGTTCCTGACATCACCACTGAAGTGTGATATAGCATCACTCACCAATCAGATTGCAGATCCTCACTTTATCTTCAGGAGCCTTTTTTCTTTTGTTTAAATGAATTATTCCACTCTCACAGTGGCAGAAATGAAAGTGAGGACTTTGACCTTTTTTTCTTAGCAGACAGTAAAACTTTTCAAGAGGTCTCAAGCTTATAGCCAGTAAAATCTCACAGGTATGGTTCTGTTTCAGGATTGGCCATCAGAGACCAACAAGCTTTTCATTCTTTGAAATTCTCACCTCTTCTCTCCTTTAAATTGATATTTTAGTGCCCCTCAACTCCCCCCCACACCACCTTAAGTAGAAATAATTAGATTTATGCCATGCTTGGAGGGAGCACAGTACACTTCTGACTGAGACTCTCAGACTGTGTTTTCAGTGAGCATGGTTGTTGCCATTTGACACAAACATTCAGCGGAAAAAAATGGAGTGAATAAGACCTCCGTGATGCTGTTCTCCTGGCTCGCTGCTTTTGAGTTGGAAATCCAATGAAAGCAGCCATTATCAAGGAAGTTGAAGTTTGTGACATGCTTATATTTGTCATTGTATCTTAGTTTGACTAGTAGCATCCTCCCACAGCACACTTTCAGTGGTCAGTCAGAGCTATGTTTGCTGAGTCTGTAGCGTTCCCTCTGCAGTGGTCCCATCCGGTACGTTGGGTAGATCCCTCTGAATCACTGGGATGGTGCCACTGCTGGATGGGAGGAGGGGAGCGTGCAAAAGGTGGCACAAAGTTGTTTTGTCCCACAGATGCTGCAGTGTGGTTACAGCAAAGCAGCCAAGGACTGGATGATACTTGAGGAGCAACTTTTCTACAGAAGGGGTCCGTTGGGAGATGCATCACGATCTTTAGAGTCACGATGGATTCTTGATTGTTATGAAGGGCCTTCACGAATGAGGAGGAGGATTCAGCATGCAAACACCCGAGTGACAATGATGCGAATGAAGAGCGAGGTAGAAAGCTGTTGCAGGAGGTGCACAATTTCTGTAACAGTTGCTGGTGACTTTATACTCACCTCTTTCCTCTGGTTCTCATTACCTGACTCATCAATATGCTGTGCCATGCATAGAGAACCCACTGAACGTGTCTGATTTTGAGAGAGTAAGAGGGGCTGCAATGTATTAGCAGCAACAGAATGATTTTCCTTTTTTTCTGTTATAAGATCTCCCCAAACAGATGAGAGTATAACCCGACCATACTTTTCTGCTTGTAATATCTCATGGGTGTAGCATTTCCCAGTGCATGCAACAGAGTCCAGTTAGAAGGCTGCACTGTCCTGTTAATCTTACGCTTATTAGGGCTGCTAGAACTGGTGGATGATCAAAAGGGGAATTAAAGTGGTTTGAACTAAGCATTGAACTGTATATGAGGGGTATTTACTACTGTCTGTCTCTATGGTGTATAAGTGCCAAATCCTATCAACCAGAAGCCGAAGCACTTCAGTATATCAGGAGGTTCCCATCTCTAGGACTTTTTCAGCTTTTCTGTGAAACTTGGCTTCTGGCTGTTTTCTGTAGACTGAGTGGTATGGTTTTTATCCTATAACTGGCCTCATGCAGGGTCTTCTTTGAAAAGCCAATAGTCCTTTTGCTTAATTGTTGACATGTGTTCCTACATTTAATTGTTCCTTTGAGTCCTTTCAAATGAGTTTATTTGAACTTCCAAGGCATTTATTTGCAACGTAGTTCTAAATCTATGTTTGTGTCTGCAACAAGGTTCTGAGTTATGTTCACCTGTCTGCATATTCCACTCTAGTCATACCTAGTCTCTTTTCAGGTTCTCCTAGCAAACAGAAATGAAACAACCCCCACTGCTGAAGTGAATCCAGGTAGGATCCTTTTAGGGCTAAATTTAAATCATCAAGAGGGTGGACACAAACAGCCAAAGAGAATTGGAGTTAGTGTATGGAGTTCTAGGTCAGAATTTAATCTAGTGAAAAAAACTTATTGTCAGTGCTCTGGGCTAAAAAGTTACTTGAACATCTGAGAAAAGACTGATGCAATTATTATATGTGGTACATAAACTGTATTTGTTGCTCTCTTGTTGCCACCAGAAAGATCTGAAAGCAAAAAAGCTATCTTGAAATGAAAGCTTTGGGCATTCTTGGGCACCTGAAAAGCTCCCAACTGCTTAAACTCAGAAGGAAATGTGCAGACTTTCCCCCTGCTTTTAGTAGACACTCCAGTTCTACCTCTGAAATAGTATTTAAAACCAGGTGATAGGTGGCTCAGAGAAGTGGTAATGGGAATTGTAATTTTCCAAGACTGTGGACAAAATAATAGAGCGTGGAAGGAAATCACCAAGAAAATTAACATGTCAAATTGTTTTTCAATGTTGAAAATAGAACCAGATTTTTCAAAATACGATCATTATGTCAATCATATGATTAAAGGCCAGGTTTTCTGTTACGTGAGACATTAAAAGAAGGAGGGGGGGGAGGGGAGTGAAATATGGTACAGAAGTCAATAGTTTTCAGACGGGAAAAAAAAAACCAAAACATTGAGAAAGAACTGTAGTTTGGAATGTCAGCCAAGTCTAAGGCTGTGGATTTCAGCCACCTGTATGGCTGTTCCAAGTCAAGCTTCTAGTGTATGCTGTTGGATATAGGCAATACTGCTGAATACTTTTTAGTGTGATAGGGCCTAGAAATCAAGTGGGAGTGGAGCTCATTGTTCTAGACTCCAAAAAAGATTGAAGTACTATGTAGTTTCTGCATGAAAGTGGTTACAGTCTACCTCAATGACAAGGCTGATCATGTGTCTCCTAACTGCATGCACTGCATGAATTTGCTAAACTTGGGACACAGCTTGGGCGAGATAGGAGTGGATTGCCTCTGCTTGGGTTCTCTTAAGATCCTGTGCAGTGCATGTCCCCAAAAGACTACTGCTTTCAGTTTTTCCTAATTTCAGGTGAGTATGTGAACAGATTTTTTTTTTTTAATTATTTGATTATCAGATGATCAGCCCAACACAGTGCAGAAATGAGAATAAATACATTTGTTCAATATGTTTGAATCTTCAGTGATTATAGGAATTTAGTTTGAATTATGACTGAGTGCAGCTACCTGTTTTTAGTTCCCTGAACTAAGCATCCTTCTTTAGCAGTCACAGATTTTACTTCTCTCTTGCCTGTTTTTTGCAGATAAATAATGCTATTTCCCAAGGTAGAACAGATTGGGTGAAAGTCTAAATTGCAAATGCTTTTGGTGTCATCTGGCTGCCACTAAAACTGCAATCTCTTTTATACTGATATAGGAGAGCTGACGTTAAATGGAGCAGAAAGGGAGATGGATAAGAAGGGATCGGATTGTAACCAGCTAACTTTCTTCCCTGCTCTACATGAAAGTTTCCATTCAGAAGACTTCTTGGAACTGTGTGTGGAGAGACAAATTATATTGCAGGAGTTTGCAGAGAGTGAAAAGGTAGGAAAGATGAACTAGAAAATGTTCTCTGGGGAGATGGCATTTTAGGGGGTGACTTGGATGTGGAGGCCTATCTGTTCCTTTCAGTTTGGGGTTCAGGTGGATTCAGGCTACAGTAACCATCATCACTATCTGTTTCCTTAGAGTGTTTACGATGTTCCAGCCTCCTTATGAACTCCTGTATAGACTTATTCTTGAAGAGCATTTAACGTTAACTCTTTGAAGTAACAGGAAAAAAATTTGGGCATGCAACCAAGGTATTCGTGTACCTGTGAGACAGTAGACATGGCAAATTATGAGACTCTCAGAATTCCTGTCCTGTTTCCCCACCTTTACTCATGCTCAGAGCAGTGCCTAGATCAAATTTATTTATTACCTCTGGGAGGGTGTGCCAATTTTGTATAGGTTGCTAGCTCAGTGATGTTTAAATCTCTTCCTGCTGTTCTTCCTCCCACCTTCACATGCCTCTTTGTTCTCTGCCTCCCCATGAGTACTGGACAGATTCTTCCCTCTAAGGCCATAGAGACTTTCCCTGCTTCCTGTTTGATGCTTCCATCGTGTGTCATCTAGTCAAAACAGTGCTGTTCCTTCTTTGTTCTTGTACTGGACTGGATACCCTTCTCCCAGGTTTCTTCCCAGCATAAGGAAGAGGCAGGTTCAGGAACACTGGGGGGAGGACATGAGCGGTGGAGTAAATAGGGGTGACTGTTAGGAGGACAGTAACTTTGGTCTGGTGTTCTCAATTTAATCCCTTTGCTCGGAAGCCAGCAACCAGCCCTTTACTTTCAGCATAGTCCCCACAATAGTGACTCCAAATCAAATCCTTGATGTTGGATATGAACTGCACATAGCCATTTTCCGTGGGACTGTGAGAGATTTTGTTATGAGTAGACCTGGCCTCATTCTCTGATCTTTTCCAGTGTACCTGTTTCTTCCAGTGGCATCATTCCCCCTGTTGGCCCAAGAGTTAGCATCCCATAGTGGAAGCCAAGGGTCAGACTTGGAGTTTTTAAACTCAGCCATCACAGCACTGTGATACATAGATATTAAATAATTCTTTTATTTTTATGTCTCAAATACCATCACTGAATTTTCTTGACGCTTTGCCAGTGGCTGGGGGTCACATTTGTGCTCTCTAATATGATGGCTTCCTCATGCTTTTAGAGCTGTTGGTACACTGTCTGTCTATACAACATAATTCATTTCCCTGCCCCTCCTCCTTTCCCCCCCCCACATACCTCTCCCCAGCAGAAGGAGACAAGCATGAAAATGTGAGGCATGTTTTCCGTGTGCTAATTTCATTTTTAGCCTTCAGGCTGTCTGTCTCTTCTCCATGTAACTCTGCAGGAAGCCGTCAGAAATGCCAGGCATGTTTTTTTCCAGCAGCAGTCACCGTGTTGCCGAGCTGACAGAAGTATTAAAAAAAGCAGTAGGGGGTGACATTAGCTGTCCTGCGCTCACTTAGGGCGCTGCGGTCCTGCCTTGTAAATGGCTGCCTCGTGAGCTGTTTGCACTTTAAGCAGACAACTGGAACCATCTTACCTACTGCACTGCACAGAACAGTCATTGCAATGCTTTGGCAGATACTAGATTGATTTCTGGAACACAGGGATAACCCTTCTCTGGAAAGTGGTCATTGTTTTATAATGTCACCCAGTGGTATTTTTTTGTATTACCATTAAACAGACACCTCTGTACGTATTCAGATATGTGAGATGGCTTTTTGCAGAAGCAGCAGATCAAATGCTATTGACATTGTCTGTTGGTTCAGAGTCTGTTCTCAGCAAGTTCAATCAGGAGAATATGGGTGCAGGTGGGATATTGTCATGCTAATATCACCTAGTCTTTTGTTTTCTTTTGCTTGCAAAAT